AAATAGGAAAGTTCTGATAACAAAGCGAAAGCGGAACAAGTCAATTAATATCAAAGCAAAAAAAAATGTTAGAAAAATTGGAAAGTTTAAAAATTAAAATAAAATCATCCAAACAGTTTGAGAAATTAAAGTGAAATGGCAAAAGATTGAGAACATGGAAAGTTTGACAAATGTAAACGTCTGAAAATGGTGTTTCAAAATTCGATGGATGTTGCTTTTTTTATTTAAACCGCTAAAATTTTTCGGAATGGTATGATTTTAAATTAAAGCGAAATGTCAAGAAAGTTTGAGAAATTAGTAAACTTGAAAGGTTTGGAAAAATGTAAGCATGTAAAAATGGTATTTGAAAACTATGTGAAAGTCATTTTTATCATATAAATTGTTGTAAACTTTTCAAAGAAAATGGAAAGTTTTAAAATATAAGTAAAATGTGAAAAACGTTTGAGAAATTGGAAAGGTTGAGCAATTGGGAAGTTTGAAAATTAAAGTGAAATGTCCATAAAAACTGTAAAGTTTGGAGAACTAGGCGGAAATACGAAACAAGTCAACTTATGTCAAAGTGAGAAAAAATATTTAAAAAGTTGTGAAGTTATGATAACTTGAGAAAAGTTTAAGAAATTTTAAAGTTTGAAAATAAGAGTGAAATCTCTAGAATGTTTGCAAAAAATTGGAAAATTGTGACAGTTTGAAAGTTTTAGAACTTAAAGAGAAATATCAAAGAAGTTTGAGAAATTGGAAATTTTTGAAAACAAGATAAAGAAAATGGTTTAGAAACTGGTAAGCTTGACAAAAAATGAGGAAAAAAATTACAGAGTTGAAAAAATGTAAACATGTAAAAAGATAATTGAAAATTTTGGGGAACTCATTTAATTATTTTAACTGTTGACAACTTTTCAAAGAAAATGTAAAGTTTTAAAAACGAAGTTAAATGTCAAAAAAGTATGAGAAATTGAGTTGAAAACTTGAAGAAGGCTTTAGAAATTGCAATATTTGAAATTGGAGGTGAAATGTCCAAGAAAATTGTAAAGTTTAAAATTGTAAAGTTTAGAGAACTAAGTGAAACGCAAAACAAGTCACTCCTCAACTTATGTCAGGGTGAAAAAAAAAGATATTGTATAAACTTTTAATTTGTAAGTACTTTTATTTCGCAAAGTCGAAAATTAAAGTGAAATCTTAAATAAAGTGGAAATTTTTGGAGGAATTGTTAAGTTTGAAAATAGAAGTGATATATCAAAAAAAGTTTGAAACATTGGAAAGTTTAATATTTAAAGTGAAATCTTAAAAAAAGTTTGAGAAATAGGAAAGCTAGTATAACTAAGTGAAAGCAGAACAAGTCAGGTAATGTCAAGATGAAAATAATTTTACAAATGAAATCTTTAAAGAGTTTGAGGAAATAAAAGTAAAATGTCAAAAGAGTTCGAGAAAATGGAAAGTTCAACAAATGTAAATGTCTGAAACTGGTATATTAAAATTCATTGGATGTTTTTTTAATTAATACTGCTGAAAAATTGACATGGGAAAATTTGAAATTTAAGTGAAATGTCACAAAAACTTTGAGAAATTAGTAAGCTTGAAAAATTGAACGGTTTGGCAAATTGTAAACATGTGAAAATGTTATTTAAAAACTATGTGACTGTCATTTTGTCATATAAACCATTGACAACTTTTTAAAAAAATGGGAAGTTTTAAAATAGAAGTCAAATGAGAAAAAAAGTTTGAAAATTTGGAAAGCTTGAAAACTTAAAAAGAAAGTTGTTAAAATTTGAAAATTTGAGAAAATGAAAAGTCTGATAAGAAATGTGAAAATGGTATTTGGAAAGCATTGAAAACTTTAAAAAAAAGTTTGAAAGACTGAAAACATGAGAATATGGTACTTGAAATTTAATGGAAATTGTTTTATTACTTAAACCATTGTAAACTTTTGCAATTGGAAACTTTGAGACTAAACTGAAATTCAAAAAAAATGATAACTTTAATAAAAATTTAAAAAATTAAAAGGTTTAGATCAATGTAGACATGTGAAATGATATCTAAAAATTTGATAGAAGTGATTTTATTATATAAACCATAGATAACTTTTCAAAGAAATTGGAAAGTTTTAAAATAGAAGTCAAATGTAGAAAAAAAAAAGTTCAAAAAATTGCCAAGTTTGAAAACGCAGAAACTTTTCAAAGAAATTGGAAAGTTTTAAAATAGAAGTCAAATGTAGAAAAAAAAAGTTCAAAAAAATGCCAAGTTTGAAAACGCAGAAAGTTTGAGAAATTGAGTAAAGTATTAAAATATAAGTGAAATGTCATAAAAGTTTGTAAGTGTAGAGAGTAAATGAAATGCAAAACAAGCCAACTTGTCAACTTAAGTCAAAGTGAAAAAAATATTAAAAGAAGTTTGAGAAATTGGAATGTTTAAAACTTACAGTAAAATCTTCAAAAAAAAAAAGGTTGAGAAATGAAAGTTTGAACAAAAGTGAAATCTTTAAAAAAAATTAAAAAATAGAAAACTTGGGAGAACTACGTGAAAGCCAAAAAAAGTTTGAGAAATTGTAAAGTCTAAATCTTGAAGTGAAATCTCAAAAAAAAGTTTGAGAACTTGTAATGCTTGGATAGCTAAGCGAACCAACTTGTGTCGAATCTTATAAAGCTTTGATAAATTAAAAAGTTATGAAAACAAGAAAGTTTGAGAAATTAAAAGGAAGAGTCAAAGAAGTTTGTGAAATTGGAAAATTTTGAAAACATGAAAAAAGTTTCAGAAAATAGAAAGTTTGAAAAATGTAAATGTTAGAAAATGGTATTTGAAAATTTGGTGAAAGTTATTTTATTATTTAAACTGGTGTAAATTTTTTCAAAATTGGAAAATTCTAAAATTTAAGTGAAATGTCAAAAATGTTTGAGAAATTGGTAAACTTGATAAAAGAAATTAAAAATGAAAGAAGTGAAAATGGTATCTGAAAATTTAGGGGTATTCATTTCATTATTTAAACAGTTGGCAACTTTTCAAAGAAAATGGAAAGTTGAAATTAGAAGTTAGTTGTCACAAAGTTTGAGAAATTGGAAAGTTTGAAAACTACAAGAAAGGTTGAGAACTTGGAATATGAAATCTCAAAAAAAATTGAGAACTTGGAAAGTTAGAAAGATAAAGTGAAATCTCAAAACAAGTCAACATGTGTCAAAGTGAAAAGAAAGTTTAAGAGATTGGAAAGTTTGAAAATTAAAATGAAATCATAAAAATAATTTGAGAAATAGGAAAGTTTGGAAATTAAAGTGATAAAAAGTAATGTAAACATGAAAGTTTGTCAAATTAAAGCGGAACGACAAAGGAGCTTGTGAAATTGGAAAAGTCTGGAAACTTGAAAAAAGTTTGAGAAAATAAAAAATTTGGAAAATATAAACGTTAGAAAATTGGTATTTGAATATTTGGATAATTAATTTCATAATTTAAACCACAACTTTTCAAAAAAAATGAAATGTTCTAAAATAGAAGTTAAATGTCAAAAACGTTTGAGAAATTGGAATGTTTGAAAACTACAAGAAAGTTTGAGAAATTGGGTGGTTTGAAAATTAAAGTGAAATGACAAAAAAAATTGTAAAGTATAAAGAACTAAGTGAAACGCAAAACAAGTCAACTTGTCAACTTATGTCAAAAGTGGGGAAAACATCAAAAAAACAAACTAAACAAATCTCGAGAAATTGGAAAGTTTGAGAAGTGAAATCTTAAAGAAAAAAGGTGAAAGAAGTTTTGAGAACTTGGAATCCTTGGATAGCTAAGCGAACCAACATGTGTCGAATCTTACAAAAGTTTGATAAATTAAAAACTTATGAAAACAGTAAAGTTTGAGAAATTAAAAGGAAAAGTCAAAGAAGTTTGTGAAATTGGAAATTTTTGAAAACTTGAAAAAAGGTTTCAGAAAATAGAAAATTTGAAAAATGTAAATGTTAGAAAATGGTATTTGAAAATTTGGTGGAAGTTATTTATTTATTTCAACAGGTGTAAATCTTTTCAAAATTGGAAATTTTAAAATTTAAGTGAAATGTCAAAAAGTTCAAATCAAAGTGAAATCTCAAAAAACAGTTTGAGAAATTGGAATGTTTGACTTTGATCTAAAAAGAAAATCTTAAAAAACAGTTTGAGAAATAAAAAAAAAGTTTGGAGAACTAAGAGAAAGCAAAAAAAAAGTCAACTTATGTCGAAGGAAAAAGAACTTTGAAAATATGGAAAATTTTAAATTAAAGTCAAATCACAAAAAAGTTAGAAATTGGAAAGTGTAAAGAATTAAAGTGAAATCTCAAAAAAGTTTGAGAACTGGGAAGGATAGGACAATTAAGCAAAAGCAATACAAGTCTAACTCAAACGCGTTGTTACCTTCTGATTATTTGATAAAAATGAAGGAGTCAGAAGGAATATCTGACTACATCAAGCGTGTGCAAACAGTGGTGAATCAACTCAAACGCAACGGAGAAACCCTAACCGATGCAAGGGTTGTGGAGAAGATTTTGCAGTCATTAACCAAGAATTTCGAGAACGTTGTATGCGCAATTGAGGAGTCGAGGAATTTGGAAGAGATAACCGTCGATGATCTCGCTGGTTCTCTTGAGGCGCATGAACGGAAGAAGAAGAAACAAGAGCCGCTCGAGGAGGCCTTACAAAGCTAAGGCAACTATCAAGGAAGACAAGGCGATGTACGCGCAGCAAAACCATGGAAGGGGACGTGGCCGTGGAGGTCGTGGTTTTGGTCGCGGTGGAGGCCACGGACGTGTAAACAATTCCTAAGAAAAGGGCGAGCTGAGCCAATAGAATTGGCGTGGTCGAGGACGTGGTCGTGGGAGAGGCGGCCGGTCAAATCGTTCAAATGTCGGGTGCCACAACTGCGGCGAATATGGGCACTACGCAAAAGAGTGCTATTCCGAGAAAAAAGTGAAAGAAAACACGAATCTAGTCGCGGACGAGGAGAAGAGACGACGGTGTTCTCATGATGGCCTACAAAGACACTACTCCCGACATCGACAATGTGGTATCTCGATACCGGCGCTAGTAATCACATGTGCGGGCACAAACACCTCTTTGTGGAGATGCAAAAGATAGAGGATGGGCATGTGTTATTTGGAGACGCGTCGAAGGTTCGCGTCAAGGGCCGAGGTAAAATCTGTTTTCTTCAAAAAGATGGTAAAGAAGGGTCAATTGAGAATGTCTATTATGTGCCCGACTTGAAGAGTAACATCCTTAGCATGGGACAACTATTGGAGAAGGGATATTCGGTTTTCATGAAAGACCGGATGTTGCACTTGAAGGACAAAAAAGGTCGGTTGCTTGCACATGTGGAGATGGCCAAGAATCGAATGTTCAAACTCAACTTGAGAAACGTGCAAGAAAGGTGTTTGCAAATCAACATGGAGGATGTGGAGAAAGAGAAGGAGATCAGCGAAAAGCATCGGGCGGAGATTAAGTTGATTAGGGTTGAAATCAAAGAAAAAGTTATAAGGATCGAATCGTTGGAAGAAGAGGGTCGTAGAGCTTTGGCGGTTAGAGAGAGATTGGAAGGTGGTATTAGGGTCTCAAAGGATGAGGTTTGCATGTTGAAGGGCAAAGAAGAAGGGTTGAGTGTCGAGATTATTGAGTTAGAGGAGAAGAAAAAGTTTGAGTTGAAGATTCGAGTTGTTACCTTAGAGTTGGAAGAATCGAAGAAGAAGATAGAAGAGATTTCACGAGAGAAGAATAAGTCTTTAAAGGAGAAAGCTGAGCAAGAGATGGAGATTCTTGAATTGAAGAGGTAGAAAAGCTTCAACCGAATGTGCTAGAGCTTGAGAAGACATGTGGAGATTATAGTGAACAGAACACCCGATTGCTTAGTAAGAACGATGCAATCAAGAAAGAGGTTGGTGTGTTGGAGGAGGAGGCTGAAGCAAAGATTGGGGAGCTTAAGATGAAGTTGGATGGTTTGAGTTCAAAGATCAGAGAGATTTCAATGGAGAAGGATAAGTTTGAAAATGTAAAAACGAAGCAAGATGTGGGTATTGTTAGATTGAAGAAAGAAGCAGAAAATCTCAGCTTACATATTTCAGATCTTGAGAAGAAGAGCATTCAGCTTCAAGAGAAGAGAGATACATTTGAGAGGGAATTAGGTGTTCGAAGAGAGGAATGGAAAAGTTTTTTAAAAGAATCCGGTGCACCATGAGAGGAGAAAGCATGTAGATGTCCGTTTTTATTTTATTCGGGAACATTTGAAGGAAGGTAATGTGCGAACGAGTCACGTTGCGAGTCAGGACCAAGTGGCGGATATCATTACAAAGCCGCTACCAACAATGTTATTCGAAAATTGTAAGATAATGATTGGAATGAAGGACTGTAAATGTTTGAGTTTAAGGGAGGAATTTGTTAAAGAATAAACTCAAACATAGTCAAGGCGATATTAAATGAGAAGTGGAAGGGGCAGTCGTTTGGAGTTCCCTATAATAAGTTATGACAGATTTTAACGAAGAGTCAGAATTAAGTACTGTTGTTTAGAATTCTGTTTTAAGAGTCTATTAATAGAGTTTTATTCTGTTAAGATAATGAAAAGAGAGTGTGTGAAGTGAGAAGAGAAGAAAAAATATATGTTTAAGAATTAATCAGAAGGAAAGTTGTGTTCTTGTTCCTCTTCCTTAAAAGCAATCTGTTTTTATCAATTAGAAGTTAGTTGTCACAAAGTTTGAGGAACTGGGACGTTTTAAAATTAAAATGAAATGACAAAAAAATTTGTAAAACTGAGGACTAATTGATATGCAAATCAAGTCAACTTGTCAACTTATGTCAAAGTGGGCGAAATGGTATTGAACAAAGTTTAAGAAATGGAAATTTTGAAAATTAAAGTGAAGTCTTTAAAAATTGACAAAAGTTATCGAAATTGGAAACATTGAAATTTAAAGTAAAATTTTTCAAAGAAGGTTGAGAAAATAGAAAGTTTGACTTTGAATTAAAGTGAAACCTTAATAATAGTTTGAGTTTTTAGAGAACTAATCGGAAAAATAAAAGCCAACTTATGTCCAAATGAAAAAGAATTTTGAGTATACGAAATTTTGAAATCAAAGTGAAATCTCAAAAAAAAAAACTGAGAAATTAGAAAGTTTGAGAAATTGGGATATTTGAAAATTAAAGTGAAATGAAAAAAAAAATTGTAAGGTTTAGAGAACTAGGTAAAACGCAAAACAAGTCAACTTATGTCAAAGCGAAAAAAATGTATTGAGCAAAGTTTGAGAAATTGTAAAGTTCAATAATTAAAGTGAAATTTTTAAAAAAATGAAAAAAGTTTTATAAATTGGAAAGATTGAAAATTAAAGTAAAATCTTTAAAAAAAAAGTCGAGAAATTGGAATGTTTAACTTTGATCTAAAAAGAAAATCTTAAAAAACAGTTTGAGAAATAAAAAAAAAGTTTGGAGAACTAAGAGAAAGCAAAAAAAAAAGTCAACTTATGTCGAAGGAAAAAGAACTTTGAGAATATGGAAAATTTTAAAATTAGAGTCAAATCACAAAAAAGTTAGAAATTGGAAAGTGTAAAGAATTAAAGTGAGATCTCTAAAAGTTTGAGAACTTGAAAAGATAGAGCAATTAAGCAAAAGCAATACAAGTCTAACTCACATCAGTTTGAGAAATTGGAAATTGATAAAAATGAAGGAGTCAGAAGGAATATCTGACTACATCAAGCGTGTGCAAACAGTGGTGAATCAACTCAAACGCAACGGAGAAACCCTAACCGATGCAAGGGTTGTGGAGAAGATTTTGCAGTCATTAACCAAGAATTTCGAGAACGTTGTATGCGCAATTGAGGAGTCGAGGAATTTGGAAGAGATGACCGTCGATGATCTCGCTGGTTCTCTTGAGGCGCATGAACGGAAGAAGAAGAAACAAGAGCCGCTCGAGGAGGCCTTACAAAGCTAAGGCAACTATCAAGGAGGACAAGGCGATGTACGCGCAGCAAAACCATGGAAGGGGACGTGGCCGTGGAGGTCGTGGTTTTGGTCGCGGTGGAGGCCACGGACGTGTAAACAATTCCTAAGAAAAGGGCGAGCTGAGCCAATAGAATTGGCGTGGTCGAGGACGTGGTCGTGGGAGAGGCGGCCGGTCAAATCGTTCAAATGTCGGGTGCCACAACTGCGGCGAATATGGGCACTACGCAAAAGAGTGCTATTCCGAGAAAAAAGTGAAAGAAAACACGAATCTAGTCGCGGACGAGGAGAAGAGACGACGGTGTTCTCATGATGGCCTACAAAGACACTACTCCCGACATCGACAATGTGGTATCTCGATACCGGCGCTAGTAATCACATGTGCGGGCACAAACACCTCTTTGTGGAGATGCAAAAGATAGAGGATGGGCATGTGTTATTTGGAGACGCGTCGAAGGTTCGCGTCAAGGGCCGAGGTAAAATCTGTTTTCTTCAAAAAGATGGTAAAGAAGGGTCAATTGAGAATGTCTATTATGTGCCCGACTTGAAGAGTAACATCCTTAGCATGGGACAACTATTGGAGAAGGGATATTCGGTTTTCATGAAAGACCGGATGTTGCACTTGAAGGACAAAAAAGGTCGGTTGCTTGCACATGTGGAGATGGCCAAGAATCGAATGTTCAAACTCAACTTGAGAAACGTGCAAGAAAGGTGTTTGCAAATCAACATGGAGGATGTGGAGAAAGAGAAGGAGATCAGCGAAAAGCATCGGGCGGAGATTAAGTTGATTAGGGTTGAAATCAAAGAAAAAGTTATAAGGATCGAATCGTTGGAAGAAGAGGGTCGTAGAGCTTTGGCGGTTAGAGAGAGATTGGAAGGTGGTATTAGGGTCTCAAAGGATGAGGTTTGCATGTTGAAGGGCAAAGAAGAAGGGTTGAGTGTCGAGATTATTGAGTTAGAGGAGAAGAAAGAGTTTTGAGTTGAAGATTCGAGTTGGAAGAATCGAAGAAGAAGATAGAAGAGATTTCACGAGAGAATAATAAGGCTTTAAAGGAGAAAGCTGAGCAAGAGATGGAGATTCTTGAATTGAAGAGGTAGAAAAGCTTCAACCGAATGTGCTAGAGCTTGAGAAGACATGTGGAGGTTATAGTGAACAGAACACCCGATTGCTTAGTAAGAACGATGCAATCAAGAAAGAGGTTGGTGTGTTGGAGGAGGAGGCTGAAGCAAAGATTGGGGAGCTTACGATGAAGTTGGATGGTTTGAGTTCAAAGATCAGAGAGATTTCAATGGAGAAGGATAAGTTTGAAAATGTGAAAACGAAGCAAGATGTGGATATTGTTAGATTGAAGAAAGAAGTAGAAAACCTCAGCTTACATATTTCAGATCTTGAGAAGAAGAGCATTCAGCTTCAAGAGAAGAGAGATACATTTGAGAGGGAATTAGGTGTTCGAAGAGAGGAATGGAAAAGTTTTTTATCGCAAGTTCATGAGTTAAAGAAGAGTAAAGATGAGTGTCTGAGAGAGCTCGAGGAGCTCAACGCATCAACAGATGCTCTTGTCCTAGAGAAAGAAAAGTAGAAGTCTATCATGATGAAGAAGATGAAAGATTCTGAGGTGGTTTCCGATAAAGTTCTCTCGCTGCTGAAGACTACCACGGAGGCTGTACATGGAGGTGAAAATGCTCAAGAGAATGGCTTTGTCGATGATGATGATGATGATGACAGGATTCGTCCATTCGCAGAGATGGAGAAAAGGAGCTTTTAAGAGCAGAGGAGAGAAGTTTGAAGAGATGAATAGAGAGATTGAGGTCTTGAAGAGCAAGAACCAGCCAATAGTGACATTGTCAATATGTGAGGCAGAATATTTGACAGCATCTTGGTGTGTGTGCCATGCAATATGACTAAGAAATTTGTTATACGAGCTAAAACTCTAGCAACACGAGGCAACCAAAAAACGAGTCGACAATAAATCGGCAATTGAGTTGGCAAAGAATCCGGTGCACCATGAGAGGAGTAAGCATATAGATGTTCGTTTTTATTTTATTCGGGAACATGTGAAGGAAGGTAATGTGCGAACAAGTCACGTTGCGAGTCAGGACCAAGTGGCGGATATCATTACGAAGCCGCTACCAACAATGTTATTCGAAAATTGTAAGATAATGATTGGAATGAAGGACTGAAAATGTTTGAGTTTAAGGGAGGAATTTGTTAAAGAATAAACTCAAACATAGTCAAGGCGATATTAAATGAGAAGTGGAAGGGGCAATCGTTTGGAGTTCCCTATAATAAGTTATGACAGATTTTAACGAAGAGTCAGAATTAAGTACTGTTGTTTAGAATTCTGTTTTAAGAGTCTATTAATAGAGTTTTATTCTGTTAAGATAATGAAAAGAGAGTGTGTGAAGTGAGAAGAGAAGAAAAAATATATGTTTTAAGAATTAATCAGAAGGAAAGTTGTGTTCTTGTTCCTCTTCCTTAAAAGCAATCTGTTTTTATCAATTAGAAGTTAGTTGTCACAAAGTTTGAGGAACTGGGACGTTTTAAAATTAAAATGAAATGACAAAAAAATTTGTAAAACTGAGGACTAATTGATATGCAAATCAAGTCAACTTGTCAACTTATGTCAAAGTGGACGAAATGGTATTGAACAAAGTTTAAGAAATGGAAATTTTGAAAATTAAAGTGAAGTCTTTAAAAATTGACAAAAGTTATTGAAATTGGAAACGTTGAAATTTAAAGTAAAATTTTTCAAAGAAGGTTGAGAAAATAGAAAGTTTGACTTTGAATTAAAGTGAAACCTTAATAATAGTTTGAGTTTTTAGAGAACTAATCGGAAAAATAAAAGCCAACTTATGTCCAAATGAAAAAGAATTTTGAGTATACGAAATTTTGAAATCAAAGTGAAATCTCAAAAAAGCTTGAGAAGATCTAAAAAGAAAATCTTAAAAAACAGTTTGAGAAATTAAAAAAAAGTTTGGAGAACTAAGAGAAAGCAAAAAAAAAGTCAACTTATGTCGAAGGAAAAAGAACTTTGAGAATATGGAAAATTTTAAAATTAGAGTCAAATCACAAAAAAGTTAGAAATTGGAAAGTGTAAAGAATTAAAGTGAAATCTCAAAAAAGTTTGAGAACTTGGAAGGATAGGACAATTAAGCAAAAGCAATACAAGTCTAACTCAAACGCGTTGTTACCTTCTGATTATTTGATAAAAATGAAGGAGTCAGAAGGAATATCTGACTACATCAAGCGTGTGCAAACAGTGGTGAATCAACTCAAACGCAACGGAGAAACCCTAACCGATGCAAGGGTTGTGGAGAAGATTTTGCAGTCATTAACCAAGAATTTCGAGAACGTTGTATGCGCAATTGAGGAGTCGAGGAATTTGGAAGAGATAACCGTCGATGATCTCGCTGGTTCTCTTGAGGCGCATGAACGGAAGAAGAAGAAACAAGAGCCGCTCGAGGAGGCCTTACAAAGCTAAGGCAACTATCAAGGAAGACAAGGCGATGTACGCGCAGCAAAACCATGGAAGGGGACGTGGCCGTGGAGGTCGTGGTTTTGGTCGCGGTGGAGGCCACGGACGTGTAAACAATTCCTAAGAAAAGGGCGAGCTGAGCCAATAGAATTGGCGTGGTCGAGGACGTGGTCGTGGGAGAGGCGGCCGGTCAAATCGTTCAAATGTCGGGTGCCACAACTGCGGCGAATATGGGCACTACGCAAAAGAGTGCTATTCCGAGAAAAAAGTGAAAGAAAACACGAATCTAGTCGCGGACGAGGAGAAGAGACGACGGTGTTCTCATGATGGCCTACAAAGACACTACTCCCGACATAGACAATGTGGTATCTCGATACCGGCGCTAGTAATCACATGTGCGGACACAAACACCTCTTTGTGGAGATGCAAAAGATAGAGGATGGGCATGTGTTATTTGGAGACGCGTCGAAGGTTCGCGTCAAGGGCCGAGGTAAAATCTGTTTTCTTCAAAAAGATAATAAAGAAGGGTCAATTGAGAATGTCTATTATGTGCCCGACTTGAAGAGTAACATCCTTAGCATGGGACAACTATTGGAGAAGGGATATTCGGTTTTCATGAAAGACCGGATGTTGCACTTGAAGGACAAAAAAGATCGGTTGCTTGCACATGTGGAGATGGCCAAGAATCGAATGTTCAAACTCAACTTGAGAAACGTGCAAGAAAGGTGTTTGCAAATCAACATGGAGGATGTGGAGAAAGAGAAGGAGATCAGCGAAAAGCATCGGGCGGAGATTAAGTTGATTAGGGTTGAAATCGATGTGGAGAAAGAGAAGGAGATCAGCGAAAAGCATCGGGCGGAGATTAAGTTGATTAGGGTTGAAATCAAAGAAAAAGTTATAAGGATCGAATCGTTGGAAAAAGAGGGTCGTAGAGCTTTGGCGCGATTAGAGAGAGATTGGAAGGTGATATAAGGGTTTCAAAGGATGAGGTTTGCATGTTGAAGGACAAAGAAGAAGGGTTGGGTGTCGAGATTATTGAGTTAGAGGAGAAGAAAAAGTTTGAGTTGAAGATTCGAATTGTTACCTTAGAGTTGGAAGAATCGAAGAAGAAGATAGAAGAGATTTCACGAGAGAAGAATAAGTCTTTAAAGGAGAAAGCTAAGCAAGAGATGGAGATTCTTGAATTGAAGAGGTAGAAAAGCTTCAACCGAATGTGCTAGAGCTTGAGAAGACATGTGGAGATTATAGTGAACAGAACACCCGATTGCTTAGTAAGAACGATGCAATCAAGAAAGAGGTTGGTGTGTTGGAGGAGGAGGCTGAAGCAAAGATTGGGGAGCTTACGATGAAGTTGGATGGTTTGAGTTCAAAGATCAGAGAGATTTCAATGGAGAAGGATAAGTTTGAAAATGTGAAAACGAAGCAAGATGTGGATATTGTTAGATTGAAGAAAGAAGTAGAAAACCTCAGCTTACATATTTTAGATCTTGAGAAGAAGAGCATTCATTCAAGATGAGAGAGATACATTTGAGAGGGAATTAGATGTTCGAAGAGAGGAATGGAAAAAATTTTTATCGCAAGTTCATGAGTTAAAGAAGAGTAAAGATGAGTGTCTGAGAGAGCTCGAGGAGCTCAACGCATCAACGGATGCTCTTGTCCTAGAGAAAGAAAAGGAGAAGTCTATCATGATGAAGAAGATGAAAGATTCTGAGGTGGTTTCCGATAAAGTTCTCTCGCTGCTGAAGACTACCACGAAGGCTGTACATGGAGGTGAAAATGCTCAAGAGAATGGCTTTGTCGATGATGATGATGATGATGACAGGATTTGTCCATTCGCAGAGGAGATGGAGAGGATTAAATGAGCTTTTAAGAGCAGAGGAGAGAAGTTTGAAGAGATGAATAGAGAGATTGAGGTCTTGAAGAGCAAGAAGCTGCCAATAGTGACATTGTCAATATGTGAGACAGAATATGTGACAGCATCTTGGTGTGTGTGCCATGCAATATGACTAAGAAATTTGTTATACGAGCTAAAACTCTAGCAACACGAGGCAACAAAAAAACGAGTCGACAATAAATCAGCAATTGAGTTGGCAAAGAATCCGGTGCACCATGAAAGGAGTAAGCATATAGATGTTCGTTTTTATTTTATTCGGGAACATGTGAAGGAAGGTAATGTGCGAACAAGTCACGTTGCGAGTCAGGACCAAGTGGCGGATATCATTACGAAGCCGCTACCAACAATGTTATTCAAAAATTATAAGATAATGATTGGAATGAAGGACTGTAAATGTTTGAGTTTAAGGGAGGAATTTGTTAAAGAATAAACTCAAACATAGTCAAGGCGATATTAAATGAGAAGTGGAAGGGGCAGTCGTTTGGAGTTCCCTATAATAAGTTATGACAGATTTTAACGAAGAGTCAGAATTAAGTACTGTTGTTTAGAATTCTGTTTTAAGAGTCTATTAATAGAGTTTTATTCTATTAAGATAATGAAAAGAGAGTGTGCGAAGTGAGAAGAGAAGAAAAAATATATGTTTAAGAATTAATCAGAAGGAAAGTTGTGTTCTTGTTCCACTTCCTTAAAAGCAATCTGTTTTTATCAATTAGAAGTTAGTTGTCACAAAGTTTGAGGAACTGAGACGTTTTAAAATTAATTAATAAAATGAAATGACAAAAAAATTTGTAAAACTGAGGACTAATTGATATGCACATCAAGTCAACTTATCAACTTATGTCAAAGTGGACGAAATAGTATTGAACAAAGTTTAAGAAATGGAAATTTTGAAAATTAAAGTGAAGTCTTTAAAAATTGACAAAAGTTATCGAAATTGGAAACGTTGAAATTTAAAGTAAAATTTTTCAAAGAAGGTTGAGAAAATAGAAAGTTTGACTTTGAATTAAAGTGAAACCTTAATAATAGTTTGAGTTTTTAGAGAACTAATCGGAAAAATAAAAGCCAACTTATGTCCAAATGAAAAAGAATTTTGAGTATACGAAATTTTGAAATCAAAGTGAAATCTCAAAAAAAAACTTGAGAAATTAGAAAGTTTGAGAAATTGGGATATTTGAAAATTAAAGTGAAATGACAAAAAAAATTGTAAGGTTTAGAGAACTAAGTAAAACGCAAAACAAGTCAACTTATGTCAAAGCGAAAAAAAGGTATTGAGCAAAGTTTGAGAAATTGGAAAGTTCAAAAATTAAAGTGAAATTTTTAAAAAAATGAAAAAAGTTATATAAATTGGAAAGATTGAAAATTAAAGTAAAACTTTAAAAAAAAGTCGATGTTTGACTTTGATCTAAAAAGAAAATCTTAAAAAACAGTTTGAGAAATAAAAAAAAAGTTTGGAGAACTAAGAGAAAGCAAAAAAAAAGTCAACTTATGTCGAAGGAAAAAGAACTTTTGAGAATATGGAAATTTTTTAAAATCAAAGTGAAATCACAAAAAAGAAATCTCAAAAAAGTTTGAGAACTTGGAAGGATAGGACAATTAAGCAAAAGCAATACAAGTCTAACTCACATCAGTTTAAGAAATTGGAAAGTTAAAAATTTAAAGTGAAATCTGAAAAATGTTTGAGAAATTGGTAAGTTATGAAAACATGAAAGTTTGAGAAATTAAAGGTAATGTCAAAGGAGTTTGAGAAATTTGAAATTTTTCTAACTTGAAAAAAGTTTGAGAAAATGAAAATTTTAAAAAAATGTAAACTAGAGAAAATGGTACAGAAAAATTTGGTGGAACTTATTTTATTATTTAAACCATTAAAAATCTTTCGAAATTGGTAAGTTTTAAAATTAAAGTGAAATGTCAAAAAGGTTTGAGATATTGGAAAATATGAAAAAAATTGAAGCATAAAAGAGAGGTTTGGAAAAAAGCAAACATGTGAAAATAGAATTTGAAAGTTTGAGGAATTCATTTTATTATATAACCCGTTCTCAACTTTTCAAAGAAAATGGCAAGTTTTAAAACACAACTTAAATGTGATAAAAGTTAGAAAATTTGGAAAGTTTGTAAACATCAAAAAATTTGAGAAATAGGGAAGTTTGAAAATATAAGTGAATTGTCATATAAGTTAGTAAACTTTAGAGCACTAAGTGAAATGCAAAACAAGTAAACTTGTCATCCTAAGTCCAGGTGAAAAAGAAAATATTAAAAATAGTTTGAGAAATTGGAAATTTTGAATTATAGTAAAATCTTTTCATAAAGGTTGAATAAAAGTGAAATATTAAAAACCTTTTGAGAACCAAGCGAAAGCAAAAATAGTCAATTTTGAGAAAATTAAAAGTTAGAAATTAAAGTGATATCTCAAAAAAGTTTGAGAACTTGGAAGGTTAGAAAAATAAAGTGAAATCTCAAAAAAGTTTGCGAACTTGGAATGTGAAATCTCAAAAAAGTTTGAGAACTTAGAAAGTTAGAAAATTAAAGTGAAATCTCAAAACAAGTCAACATGTGTAAAAGTGAAAAGAAAGTTTAAGAGATTGGAAAGTTTGAAAATTAAAATGTAATCATAAAAATAGTTTGAGAAATAGGAAAGTTTGGAAATTAAAGTGAAATCTCAAAAACAGTTGAGAAATTAAAAAGTTATGTAAACAAGAAAGTTTCACAAATTAAAGGGGAACGACCAAGGAGCTTGTGTAATTGGAAAAGTCTCAAAACTTGAAAAAAGTTTGAGGAAATAGAAAATTTGGAAAATATAAACGTTAGAAAATTGGTATTTGAAAATTTGGATAATTAATTTCATAATTTAAACCATTGACAACTTTTCAAAAAAATAGAATGCTCTAAAATAGAAGTTAAATGTCAAAAACGTTTAAGAAATTGGAATGTTTGAAAACTACAAGAAAGTTTGTCTAAAATAGAAGTTAAATGTCAAAAACGTTTAAGAAATTGGAATGTTTGAAAACTACAAGAAAGTTTGAGAAATTGGGTGGTTTGAAAAATAAAGTGAAATGACAAAAGAATTTATAAAATTTAAAGAACTAAGTCAAATGCAAAACAAGTCAACTTGTCAACTTATGTCAAAAGTACGGAAAAAACATCAAAATAACAAACTAAACAAATCTTGAGAAATTGTAAAGTTTGAGAAGTGAAATCTTAAAATTAAAAAAAAAGTGAAAGAAGTTCTAGAAATTGGAAATATGGAAAATTGAAGTAAAATATTTTTAAAAAGGTGGAGAAATTGGAAAGTTTGACTTTGAATTAACGTGAAATCTTAAAAATACTTTGAGAAATAGGAAAGTTTGGAGAAGTGAAACTAAAAATAAAAAAAAAGTCAACTTATTTCAAAGTGAAAATGAATTTTCAAAGTGTTAATGAATTTTGAAAATATGGAAATTTTGAAAATTAAAGTGAAATCTTAAAAAAAATCTGAGAAAGTGGAACACTAGGAGAACTAAGCGAAAGCAATACAAGTCAAACATGTGAAAAACTAATAAAAAGTTTGAGAAATTGAAAAGTTAAAAAATTAAAGTGAAATCTCAAAATGTTTGAGAAATTGAAAAGTTATGGAAACACGAAAGTTTGAGAAATTAAAGGGGAAATGTCACAGGAGTTTGAGAAATTGGAAAACTTTTAAACTTGAAAAAAGTTTGAGAAAATGGCGAGTTCGAAAACTGTGAAGTGAGAAAATGGTACTTGAAAATTTGGTGGAAGTTATTTTATAGTTTAAACTGTTAAAATTAAAATATTTTGAAATAAGAAAAAACTTTCAAATTTGGAAAAAATGTAAACATATGAAAGTGGTATTTGAAAATTTTGTGGAAGTCATTTTATTATATAACATGTTAATAAGTTTTCAAAGAAAATGGAAAGTTTTAAAACACAAGTTAATAGTGGAAAAAGTTTGAGAAATTGGAGAGTTTAAAAATAGAAAGTTTGAGAAATTGAGAAGTTCAAACTTGTAGAGAAATGTCCAAAAAACTTGTAAAGTTAAGAGAACTATGTGAAATGCAAAACAAGTCAACTTATGCCAAAGTAAGAAAAAGAAGAAATATAAAATTGTAACATTACGAAAACTTGAAAAAGTTTGAGAAATTGTAAGTTTGGAAATTCAAGTGATATCTCAAGAATGTTTGAGAAATTGGAAAGTTACGGGAACTTGAAAGTTCAAGACTGAAATGTCAAAAGAGTTTCAGAAATTGGAATGTTTGGAAATCTTGAAAAAGTTTGAGATAATGGAAAGTTTGAAAATTGTAAACATGTGAAAACGATAATTGGAAATTTGGTGGAAGTTATTTTTATTATTTAAATCGTTAAAAGAAGTTTGAAACAGAGAACATTCAAAATTAAACTGAGATGTCAAACAAGTTTGAGAATTTGGTACACTTAAAAAATAGAAAAAATGAAAAGTTTGGAAAATTGTAAACATGTGAAAATGGCAATTGTAAATTTTGTTTAGTCATTTCATTATTTAAACCATTGACAACTTTTCAAAGAAGTCGAAAAGATTTAAAATAAAAGTGATATGTCAAAAAAATTTGAGAACTTGGAATGTTTGAAACTTGAAGAAAGTTTGAGAAGTTGAAGTTTGAAAACTAAAGTTTGGAGAATTAAAGCAAAATGTAAAACAAGTCAATTTAACAACTTTTGTCAAAGTATTAAAATTGGTAATTGAAAAACTTGTATTTGGCAAATGGCAAGCTTGAAAATTAAAGTGAAATTAGAAATAACTTTGTGAAATTGACAAGTTTAAAAAATGAAGTGAAATCTTAAAAATAATTTTCAGAAATTGCGTACTATGTAAACTTGAAAAAAGTTTAGTAAATTGGAAAGTTTGGAGAACTAAACAAAATGGAAAACAAGTAAACTGATGTCAAATTGACAAAAATATATTTAAAAAGTTGTAAATTTAAGGAATTGAGGGGGGGGGGGGGGGGGGAAAATATCTGAAATTGAAAAAATTGTGAAGTTTGAAAATTAAAGTTCAAAAATCAAAGTGACATCTCAAAAGTTTGAGAAATCAGAATATGAAAACTTGAAAGATTAAGAAATTGGAAAGTTTGAAAGGAAAAAACATAAACGCATGAAAAGGATATCTGAAAACTTTGTGAAAAGTACTATTTTGTTATTCAAACCATTATAAACATTGAAAAATTGGAAATTAAGATGAAATGTCAAAAAAGTTTAATAAATTTGAAAAATTGAAAACTTGAATAAAAGTTTAATACATTGGAAGGTTTGAAAATTAAAGTAAAATATCCAAAATATAAGATTAAGACATTTCCATTAAATATGAGATTTGAAGAAATCATAAAATGTCAAATTATGTTAGAGTGAAAATAAAAATTGAGAACTTGAAAGAGTTTGAGAACTTGAAATGAGGAAGAATCTGTACAGTTGAAAAAACCGAAAAATTTGAGAACTTTTTAATAGGTCAGAGTATAAAAGGGTCTGTTTCCAAGATGCATGCTTATGGGAAAAAGAAAAACATTTCAAATTATAGTATAGTTCAATTAATAGTACTTTGAATGCCGTCTTAGAATGTTAAAACCCCTCAAATCTTATAGAAAGAGAATTATAAATAGGACTGTTTAAATTTGAAAATAGGGGAGCTAGAAAATTCTAAACCATCTGTGGTAGAGGCAAATAAATAATAGGGATAGACTATAGTTTGTCATGCAAAAATTCTAAATTACAATGCAAAAAGAAAGTTAGAAATACATACAAGTTCCACCTCCAAATTAGAAATATATACAAGTTCCACCTTCCAAACCACCCCCCACACAGAACAATCCCTGAATTAACATCAATAGAACAAGTCCAGAATTAACAGCGATAAATACCCAGATCAGCCCAAAATTAACAGCAATAACTACACAACAAGATCTAACGAAGCAAAAGCAAGAAAGACTTCTTACCAGTCATGACGGTTGCGACAACAGCCTCCTGCCAAAGGCATTTAAGTCTCCATCTACTCCTGGCCTTTTGTCACTACGTCGCAAACCAATAAAGACCCAGATTTTGATCCAGGATCAACTACAAAGAAAAAAGTCCCAAATCAATTTAAAAATAAACATACCACAAACAATATTCAACACATAAAGAAGAATCAATTCTTACCTCGCATCATCAAAAGAAAAGGCGCTTGATCTCCTTCTCAACAAAACCCTATTAATGTAGAGAAAAGGGAAAGGGGAATTCTCGCGGGTCGCGGCCGCCATTGGCATGATCAGAGAGAGAGAGAACTAGGGTTTTGTTGTGAAAAGGGAGAGGGGAATTCTCGCGGCCTTCATTGGAACGATCGGCGAAATATAACGAGAACTAGGGTTTTCGTTGAGAATAGGGAAAGGGTAATTCAAAATTTTACGAAATTAGAAAGTTGAGAAAACTTGAAAAAAGTTTAGGAAATTGTAAAGTTATAAAATTAAAGTGAAATGTCAAAAGATTTTGAGAATCTGGAAAATTATGAAAATTTGAAAGGAGAAAAAAAGCTTGAAAAAAATGGAAAGTTTGAACAAAAATGTAAACATGTGAAAATGGTATTTAAAAATTCGGCAAAAGTTATTTTTCTATCTGCACCGTTGAAAAGCTTTCAAAATAGGAAAAATTTTACATTAATGTGAAATGTATAAAAAATTTTAGAAATTGAGAAGTTATGAAACTTGAATAAAGTTTAAGAAATTGGAAGGATAGGAAATGAAAGTGAAATGTCCAAAAGTTCAAAAAGTTTAAGAAATAGGAAAGATAGGAAACAAAGTTAGATAAATTGCAAAGTTTGAAAATCAAAGTGACATCTCAAAAGTTTGAGAAATCGGAATATGAAAACTTGAAAGTTTAAGAAATTGGAAAGTTTGAAAGGGGAAAAACATAAACCTATGAAGATATTATCTGAAAAATAGGAATCAAAGTTAGATAAAATGCAAAGTTCAAAAATCAAAGTGACATCTCAAAAGTTTGAGAAATCAGAATATGAAAACTTGAAAGATTAAGAAATTGGAAAGTTTGAAAGGAAAAAACATAAACGCATGAAAATGATATCTGAAAACTTTGTGAAAACTATTTTGTTATTTAAACCATTATAAACTTTGAAAAATTAGAAATTAAGATGAAATGTCAAAAATGAAGAATCTGTACAGTTGAAAAAACCGAAAAATTTGAGAACTTTTTAATAGGTCAGAGTATAAAAGGGTCTGTTTCCAAGATGCATGCTTATGGGAAAAAGAAAAACATTTCAAATTATAGTATAGTTCAAATAATGGTACTTTGAATGCCGTCTTAGAATGTTAAAACCCCTCAAATCTTATAGAAAGAGAATTATCCCCCCCCCACCCCACCCCACCCCACATACACACAACTAGACATCACTGAACATGAACTAAAGGGTAATAGTTAAAAAAAAGTTAAAATTATGATTAAGTGAAAATGATGTTCAAAAAGTTCCGTAATATTCTAATTACTCAGATCAGTGTGTAGATTTCACAGCAATAACTACACAGAACACAGAACAAGTCCTTGAATTAACAGCAATAGAACAAGTCCAGAATTAACAGCGATAAATACCCAGATCAGCCCAAAATTAACAGCAATAACTACACAACAAGATCTAATGAAGCAAAAGCAAGAAAGACTTCTTACCAGTCATGATGGTTGCAACAACAGCCTCCTGCCAAAGGCACTTAAGTCTCCATCTACTCTTGGCCTTTTGTCACTACGTCCCAAACCAATAAAGACCCAGATTTTGATCCAGAATCAACTACAAAGAAAAAAGTCCCAAATCAATTTAAAAAAACATACCAGAAACAAGATTCAACACATAAAGAAATCAATTCTTACCTCGCATCATCAAAAGAAAAGGCGCTTGATCTCCTTCTCAACAAAACCCTAGTAATGTAGAGAAAAGGGAAAGGGGAATTCTCGCGGCCGCCATTGGCATGATCAGAGAGAGAGAGAACTAGGGTTTTGTTGAGAATATGGAGAGGGGAATTCTCGCGGCAGACATTGGGACGATCGGCGAAATATAATGGGAACTAGGGTTTTCGTTGAGAATAGGGAAAGGGTAATTCTCGCGGCCGCCATGGGAACGATCGGAGAGATGTATATAGAGAAATATAATGGGAACTAGGGTTTTTGTTGAGAATGGGGAGAGGTGAATTTTGAGGCGAGGGTTTTTGTCGAGAATGGGGAGAGGGGAATTTTGAGGCGAGGGTTTCTTACGGAGGGAAGAGGGACTATTAATTTAATAGTTTATATGGACTATAGAAGCGACCGACTTAAGCAACCTCATAACGGTAATATTATGTCATTAAGGAAACGATTTTAGCATAATCAATGCTTTGATTGAGTATCAGTATCTTTTGAGTTGTCCTGGAGATTTTATAATGATGAGTATCTCATAACTAAATAAAGAAAGTCTAGTTGTGGACATCACTAAATTTGTCTTCTCCTATTTTCCCCTCTACAGTTGCTTTTCTTGTTTTACCAGCTTAATAATTTTCTTGTGAAGTTGCATAATTTTTTTTTTTTTTTGGGTGGGCGAGGCGGGAGGTGGGTTGGCAATATTTAATCTGTTATTACTTTTAATCAGTAAATTTATTAATTACTGATTTATTACCTCATTTATTTATAATGCCGTAGATCTAATTTTTAGAGACTTACCTGCATTTTCAATGGTTTGAGGGAGTAATATCAATTTAACGAAATATTTGAGGGACAGACAGCTTTATGAGGCAGGTTGGGCTCTGCTAAAAATTTTCTAACTTCAAGAAGTAGCACCAACTTCGTCGAAATTTGAAAGCCATAATCTTCAAAATTTTCTCATATACGTGTTATAAAAAAAGGAATTGTGTTGGGCGAACACTTGAGGAAATCACATCAATTTATGACAAAGTCACCCCTACTAATTGTAAGTCATTGCATAAAGTTCTATGGCTACACAAAATATAAAAACTAAGGGGGTTTTCTACTTAGAGCAAATGGTTTACACTAATTTATGCTTAAATCCAACATCTTTTATGTGTACTTTTCAACCCAATCAACCTATTGTATTTGTTTTTAATCCTAAATAGTATTATCAGAGTTAGAGTATGCATGTAGGCACTAAAAATGTCAAGAAATAAAGCAGGGTCGAACCTCGCTACAAGCATGATAATGGAGAACTGGTTGTTTGTACTCATGGATTGCTTGCTATTTATTTCAGAGGCTTCAAGCAAGATTATTTTCATCCAAACACATCCTCACAGTTAAATAACTAGTTTAAATGTTTAATATGCGTTTTCATGTTTAAATCTTAACTTGTGATGTTAAAAAACAATTTTTTTTATATTGAAACTTAAACCAATGCTAGATTAGTAATCTTTTCTTGCTGTTTATGATAGTATCATGATCATGATCAAACCAATGCTAGATTAGTAATCTTTTCTTGCTGTTTATGATAGTATCATGATCATGATCATTAGGGTTATTCATAATTTTGTTTATATATGAGAAGCTTGCTGTTTATGATAGTATCATGATCATGATCATTAGGGTTATTCATAATTTTGTTTATATATGAGAAGTTTAAGAGATGTACTATTTTTTTTTTCTGCAAAAAATTGTAGCACTTATATAATCTTTAACTGTGATTTTGAGATAGCAAATGAAATCCAAATTTAAGCAAACTAGTTCTAAATAAAAGCTATATGTATCAAGTTTCTAAAACAGAAAGTTATTCTTAAAAAGAGTTTGTATAGAGAAAGATATGTTCTTTTTACTAACAACATGTCCTACAGAAAAACTATTGCACGTGTATAATATTTAACTGGAGATTTGGGATAACAAACGAACTCTAAACTGAACCAAACTTGTGTCAATTGAAAGATGTGTGAATCTAGTTTTCAAAACAGAAAACCATTTCTAAAAAATAGTTTTCCTAGAGAAAGATACGCTCGTTTTACTAACAAAAGTTCTGACTATTTTTCCTGCTCGTTTTGTGGAGCTGTGTTGCGCCATTTTGAGATGTGTTCGCGGAGTTTTAAACCGCTTGATGTTACACGTATAGTCATGAATATGTTGTGTTACTCATTTAAGAATCCTAAGTGGATTATGATGAGTTTTGAATTGATCATATTCGAAATTAGATATCGTTCATACACATGTTGGATGTCGTTGATGAGCACAGCTCGGTACTATATGGAATAGTGTATCGACATACTAGATATACATAATTTATACATATATCGAATATCGTTAATGGGCTCAGCTCAGTACTATATGAGATAGTGCGTCGATATGCCAGATTTATACAGTTTATACACATGTCGGATATCGTTAATGGGCCCAGCTCAGTACTATATGAGATAATGCGTCGATATGCCAGATTTATACAGTTTATACATGTGATGGATATCATTGATGAGCACAGCTCAATACTATATGAAATAGTGCGTCGATATGCCAAATTTATACAGTTTATACATGTGATGGATATTGTTGATGAGCTCAGCTCAGTACTATATGGAGTAGTGTGTCGATATTCCATTTGTATAAGCCATTGAGTCGGGTTTGGATGCTTTGTCTAACAGTCCGTTCCGCACGAGGGTGCGATGAGGCTTGTGAGCCGTCTTCTAGGATACCAATATAGTAGATCGTCTCGCACTCATGTTACGCACCGAGATCGCGATGAGACTAATGAGCCATGTACATTGTTGTAGGATACCTACAGGGTAGTCCGTGTTGCATAATAATGCGATGAAATCAAAATTTTGCAAAGAGTTGAAATAAAACGATTATTTGATAGTCTGAGTTTTAGTGGATACCAAAAGTGTTTATGTCCTACTGAAACCTGATACTATTTTATTTTTAGTAATTTTTCTATTGATCAGATGGGCATGAAATTTATGCTATTGATCTTAGAATACCGAGACTGTGCTGTGGTTAAAGTCTCGTTATGTTTTGATAATGGAGACTGAAATACTATTTTGAGACGGTATCAAGTCTGTTAGCATCTGTCATATTTATATTTTTAATAATTTTTATGTTGATCAGATAAATATGAGGATTACACCATTGATCGTAGAATGTTGAGACGGTCTTGTGGGTAAATTTTTATTACTTTCTGAGAACGAAGATTTGGAACTCAATTTTTAAATAATATAAAATTATAAATATTATTATTATTATTATTATTATTATTATCCTTTTCTTTTATTCTCTCCACCTACCCCCACCTACCCCCTCCTATAAAAGCATCTCCCCCCCTCTTCTGAGCACGCAGAAAAGAGAAATAAGAGAGAGAAAGAGAAGGGGGGGAGAGGGAGAGGGAGAGAGAGAGAGAGAGAGAGAGAGAGAAGAAAAAGACAGAGAGGAAGAAAAGAGGGAAAAAGATAGAGGGGACTTTGGCTATTCGGAGAAAAGGAACGGATAGGGAGTCCAATTTCAGAGATCAATAAAGGCAAGTTCATCTCTTTCCAAACCTATCCCCAGTAAATTTTGATATTGATGAATATACATGATATTGATGAATATACATGATATTGATGAAAAGACATGATATTGATAAAAATTGATGAATATACATGATATTGAATAAAAGACTTGATATTGATGAAAATTGATGAATAGAATATAAGACCAAATTCCTAAAAGACATGATATTGTCAGCTAGAACTATACGTACATGTCTACCGTTGGAAATACTATCACAAATTTTTTATACGTATGGTACTATTCATATATACGGGTACTATTCATACGTACGATACTATTCATAAATACCATACTATTCATATGTACGGCACTATTCATAAATACCGTATTTTTCATACGTATGACACTATTCATGGATACTATTCATATGTACGTTACTATTCATAAATACCGTATTGTTCATGCGCACGACACTATTCATGGGTACTATTCATACATGCTATGATACTGTTCATACGTACGACACTATTCATAAGTACTATTACTATTCATTCATACTGGGGTACTATTCATACGTACTGTTATTATTTATACATACGATACTATTCATAAGTACTGACACTATTCATGCGTATGGGTACTATTTATACATACTGTCACTATTCATGCATACGGTACTATTCATACGTATTGTTACTATTCATGAGTACGAATACTAGTCGTAAAGTACTGTTGTTATTAGTAAGTACTGCTACTATTCACAATTAGTTAATACAGCAGATAGTCGGGGTTGGTAACCCTGATCATTTACTGGACGGTTTGGTCCAGTTTTATTTTCTGGAGTTTGTTTGCGCCATTTGTGACGCGATCGTGGAGTTTGAGCCGCTCGATGTTATACTTACAGTCATGAATATGACGAAATATGCATTTGAGTATCCCACAGGGATTATGACGAATTAAGATCTATTTACTTGTGAGTTAGTACACCGCAAATGAGACTGCGATGATACCTATTTGTCGATCCGCACGGCGATGCGATGATACCTATTTGTCGATCCGCACGGTGATGCGATGATACCTATTTGACGATACATATTTGTCGATCCGCACAGTGATGCGATGATACCTATTTGTCGATCCACACTATGATGCGATGATACCTATTTGTCGATCCGCACTATGACGCGATGATACATATTTGTCGATCCGCACAGTGATGCGATGATACCTATTTGTCGATCCGCGCGATGATGCGATGAGTTGGAAGAAGTTCAGAATGATAATATTATAAACTATTTACCTGAGTATTTGGCGGATGCCAAAAGTGTTTCTACTCCTTGTTGAGATACTTTGCTATACGAGTACACGAGATACATATGTTGATGTCTATTATGATTCTTTACTTTCCAATTATATTTTGATTGCTTAGTTCAGGGTTAATATTTAGTTATTTACTATCTGAGACATACGGTATATACATGAGGGTTTCCTTGTTTGGATTATTTCGCTCGACGTACTACGTCTCAAGTTGTAAGTTTCTAAATATTAATTTCATTAGATACAGAGAAAATGATCTAGGTAGACTATGCTTAATAGATAGAGCCTCCACTTCATCATCTAGTAGCCCTTCCCCTGGGGGCGGATGGAGGTGAACTTGCTGTAGCGCTCTGACGCTCTTGTTGTTGTTCTTTTTCTTTTATTTTATTTCTCATTTCAGGCGGCTCAGAGCATCGGAGAGTCGCAGGGTGACGGAGTTCTTGCATAGTCGCCGTCGCGTATTTTTACTAGTATGGACTCCACAGTGATCTTATGTTTCCATTTAGTCATTTGAGTTTGTACTCATATTGTTAAGGCAATATGCCTTAGTACGATTTCTAATCGATTCATGTTGAGACATATCATGTTATTTTAGACTCCAGATGTATATCAGTTGTATTCCAGTTTAGTTTATTTGGGACATGATTTCATTTAT